ATGTTCCACTTGATATTACAATTATATATAACACCTTGATGATAAACATGAAAGATATCCCATCATAAGAATCATGTAGTTGCTGTTACAATCATCTAAAGTCTTTGAATATAAACATCAAATTTATCACAGTCAGTGCGCAAAAATTCTATATAGCATTGGCTGGTTGGCCAAGGGAATAAGAATTGTCAATCAAACATTTCTTTTGCAGATCTATGATGATAAAGTACTCACAATCAATGAAGATGATGACCTCGCCCGGATTATTCATGGAAAGCCCACCCGAATCTTTGGAACTGAATCAGGATGATCAGTATTTATTACTAACTAATGAAGGTTCCAAGCTCACCTTCACAGTTGTGATACCAATTAACCCACATGACAGCGTCATGAGCACACGTGGCCATACAAACCGCTGGACGCACATTGGGATGCACGGTAGCACAAATAATTGCCAAAAGTACCTCATCTGCAACCCAATTGTGTATTGATGTGATTGAAGAGGGTGGTTCGTACAAGTAAAAACCTTTGCCAGAGAACCAGCGATAGACTTCATTAACCCCGTAGAGCCAGCTTTCGTAGTTGGAACCGTTGCGCTTCAAACGAATTGAAATGCTTGCAAAATCTTCCATTTTTTGGTGATCCACGTATTTGAGCATGTCATCCACCGCATCCAGATTATGCCCATCTTTGCGCAGTAGCTCTAACATGGTCAGGAGCTGTGAAGATATTCGAGGTGGATCAATCTTGACGCGTACCATCTTCATTTCAAATAAGGGACAGCTGAAATTTTTGAGAAGTAAGGATGGGGCAATTGTTTTTTTTTTGAGAAGCGAGGATCTATGGGGCAATCGCATCAATACGCAGATTATATTGTCGTATCTTATAATTATTGAATCAAATACAAAATAGACTCGCTGCACAAATGCGACAATCTCTCGTTCGATATGGTTTGAAGCTAACTCATCTAAGATCTGATGATTTAAAACAATATCATCATCCAATAGACCGTTTGATCGCGTTACAAATCAAATCAAGATAACAAAAAAGGAAAGACTTCATGATAGCTTGTTAACATGGAATTGATAAAACATCAGGGCATGGACCATGATCCGAGCACTCGTTCCGTGAGAGATGCCCCATTTACGCAAAAGTTCCCTATTGATATAATCGACAAACAAAAATAAATCAAAATGATTGACTCCGTTGGCCTGAAGTATCGGAAGGACATTCTCAATCTCGTTGTGTTCCAAACAGGCAAATTTCAGATAATCCTCCAACGTCGTTAAGCTCATGATTTGTCGAAGATCGGAAAAGATCACGTAACCGCCATCTATTGGGAAAGCTACATAGAAAGTAAGTAATTGTTTTTTTTCTCTAGCTAAAGGCTTGAAGCTTACGTATCGCATCAAATGGGTTTCCGGTAGGTGCGACCTCAGGAGTCGCATTTGCTTTGATCACAGGTGAGTGGTCCATATCCTCCACAGGCTCAAGTCGTATCAGAGATACGAATCGACTTTCTGATGTATCTGAATCGCTGAAAGCCAGGAAAAGACATGGTCGTGATCAGTTAAAGGGTGGCCGGCTTAACAACAACACACTCACGAGTCTTTAGCAAAACCCAGGAAGAAATCTCGCTTGCGCTTGTGTGATTGGGTGTGAGTTTGGGATGGTGACATTGGGCAAGTTCCAAATTTTTGAAGGTGGAACGGTGACTCCAGATTTTTTTTTTCAAAAAGTGCAGAATTGGGCACCAGATCCAATCTCCTGTCAAAGCGTGGGTGCCACTTGAGATCTGTCAAAAGTGGCACCATCCCTCCCTGGGAACCCTTTTTTGGCCTGGGGCAACTTGCCACACTTGGAACAAATCGATTCCGGCCTTCCAGCCAAAAACTCACATCCCCAATCAATCGTTTAAATTCATGGCCACCGATTTTCCCTTTAATTTCAGTAAGTCACTTGCCTTTCACACGTTCAGGTGTGATTGACTGACCATAATGCTTGCTATCAAGGCGCTCAATTTGGAGGCCGAGGTTCTCTTGACCTCGGCAATGGCCTCGATTCGCCATCTCGAGGCGGAACCATGGTTATTCAAAGTTTCAATAACCATGGGTCACTTAGGAACGACTCGTTCTGTGAGTTGACAAACTCACAGAACCCTCATCAGTACTGACCTCGAGTGTGATCTTCTTCAGCCTCTTTGGACTCACCTACACCTAGAAATGACGGTGGGGACATACCTCGAGGTCGGGAGTTCCAGAGGACTCCTAACCACGAAGCTAACCCAGGCCGAGAGGAGGTTCTTCCTCGCTTTCGAGAACGCGACGAGCGCTCTCGATCCCCATCAGGCCAAACGCGCGGCCCCCGAGATGATCCTCAGTGGCCACCTCGTGGATTTCCCAATCAATCTGATTTGCGAGCATCAAATCAATCCGACTCGCGAGGATCACGTGGAAACGACCTACCAAACCGCCCGAGTTCAAGAGATCAAGTCGTTGACGTTACCCAAACCTTCTCTTGCCCACTCCCTGCGCCAACAATGCTTACGCTGCAGGCATTGGCCACGCGGTGCGGCCTAGAAGGCCCATTCCACGCTTATGCGATTGCTCAAGCAGAGGTAAAATTCTCCAAAGTCTTACCTTTCTGTGATCAATCAGTATGATTGACTTTGTTTTTTGATGTTTTTTTCTTCTCATCTGTCAAACTACCATCGCCAAAGGTCTTCGGGGAAAACAATCGGCATCTTGCTCAAGTCACTGCAGATTCAAGACTCTTAATGGAGATAGTACGTGTCAATAGTAAGATTGACACGTTGAGTGAACAAATGGTCACGATGACCAGGGCCGTCATGGAACTGGCCTCGCAACCAGAAGCCAAACGGGGATCGGCTTCCGGATCAGCCACTGCCGTGGTGCTAGGATCCGCCGCAGACGAATCAACCGTGAAGCCCCAGTGGAAGGCAAGCCCAAAACTTCTTGTAAGTGTATTTCAAAATCTTTTGAATCAGATTCTGGACCATTGGCTGAAATGTCAATTTTGTTTTCCAAGGGGTTGATCAACCCCTTGGCCCTTAAACTGCTATTCTCCCCCGTCCTTGAGGCGTATACCGCCGTCAAGAACGGTTTGGAAGGGTATCTTCCGAACTCGTTATTTAATACTATGAAGGTAAGTCACTGATTCATCATATTCATATTGATGAATCAGTGTCTCTGCTAACTCGCTCTGTTTCGTATCATCTAGAAAAAAGTGGCCAAAGAAGGGCAGGTGTTTGCCGCTGAACACCTGCCTCGTCAAGTCTATGGAGTCGAAGAAGCGCCCGACACACAAGCGTACGCTAGCGCCTTGCGATTGGCGGGCAAACACGCCAGGGAAAAGTTGCACAACGTGGTAGGTTGTGTTTCCTTCTCCTTCTCACATCGGTCGCGTTTTGGAACAATGCAACTCCAACTCACGACCGAAACAGCTCTTGGTAGGCATATTCGACTCTAAAACCAAAGAGAACATAGACATTCCGGTTCCCCATATAAAAGGGATGGTGCAACGAGTAAGTCATCTCATTTCCCTTCATATAATCATTCGATTAACTGCAAGTCACAATCTAGGTTGCTGTGAGGTGTGCTGTTGCTGGGGAGAAGGCCGAAGTCGACGCAGTGTGGGCAGCCACCGATCTGCCCACACGGGGACAAATCACATATCTCGTGAGTCCAACAGCATTTGGAAATCCATCAAACTCCTCGCTTATACACTTTATTTTTGTGCTCAGCGTCGGGAAGCCGCACGGGTGATGCTCAAAGGGGGTAGAGGATCTGAGTCAGTCTGGCGTGCAGTTGACAAGAAGCTTTCCGAGGTGCGATTGAAGGGCAACGAAGATTATACTACGGCGTGAGCAAACATATTATATGTATGTATATGATTTTTCAAGCATCACTGACATCACATCGTTTCACACGCAGCTTCTATCAGATCGTCTATGATGAGGACCGCCAGTTATTTGATGGGAAACTTTGGTTTAAAGACCTGAAAACGCGCGAACCAAAAGTCACTTTAGACTTGCCATCCGAGGAGGCCATCATGGCGCGCATGTCTGCAGGTAATGCGAGGCCATCTGGATCTGATACCACCTCGGTTGGGAATCCAATAGTTAATTAATTAAACTATTAGCTTTTTCATCATTTTGCTTTTCATTCAATCAATAAAATACAACTTTAATTGTGATACGGGTCATTTTTTTATCTTTGAAGTTTGGTCTAATTGAACGGATCTCTATGTACATACACTGCTACTGTGGAATCAATCATACGTTGGTTATCAAGTCACTGTGTCTGTGTTGATGAGCCTCGTAGCTGATTTGAGGTGACCTGAGTGATCAGACTGATCTGCCCCTACCCGGAAATCGACCCAGCCAGCAGCGAGTCCGATACCTGAATACCCGGGGGATGTGTCGGGCCAGCAAGCCTGCTGACCGTCGGCAGACGGATTCCAGCCGGCCTGCAGGCAAAAACTAGCCGGCCTGCAGGCCGGGCCAGCAGGCGTCTGGCAGGCGTCTCGCGTGAGGGCCATCTGCAGACGGCCTGCCCCTATGCAAGCGCTGGCGGTCTGCAGCTGGCCTGCCATGGCCGCCTGTAGCCGGCCAAGACACCTCTGTGGTGTAGCGAGTGTTTTAATAGCGGATGATGTCCCGATGATGCGGTGGTATGACATAGGCTCTCCGCATTGAAATGAGTGGGTATACAAGTTTCAAGTTGTGAAAGTTGATGATGGTCAGGTAACAGGTTCCAGAAGAGGAGCAAATCAACTTGACAAACGCTCAGTGAAATCTGATTTTGGTGATTGCTAACAAGTGCACGCAGCAGAGGCGGCCTTACACAGCGTCCAGCTACGCATCCGCACCCGCCTCATCGTACTTTAGCTGGAATTGGAACTTTTGTGAATTCTCATTGTCAACTTTTTAGAACCAATCCAATTCAAAACTTCATTCTTCACTAGCTTCACTCAGCATCATGCGACTACAAGAAGAAATCGAGTCAGTTTCTGCACCTGAAGACTTTCTACCCAACTTTCAATGTCTCTCTGCTCTAGATACCAGCCTCAGGTGTCCGGTTAGTCTTTGTTCAACGAAACAACTCATTTACTTCAAGACTTCTTTTACTCAAACTAACTTGCCTTTCCATTTGCTTAGATATGTAAAGATTTCTTCGAGGCTCCAGTCTTGATTCATATCCCGAAATGTTGTCATACGTTTTGTTCAGTTTGTATACGCGCTTGTTTCAATCAAACTTTAAATAGTAAAATCGGTTCAGCTGGACTTGGTGGAGTAGGAAATAGTCAAAGGTGTCCAATTTGTCAAACTGAAGCTCATGAGGAAAAGATCAAACCAGTACCGGCTTTAGAAACAGTTGTAACTAATTGGCAAGAGGCTAGGTCAGAAATCCTTAACATGGTTTCTCAAGCGGATCGAGTGAAGAGCTTGTTACAGTCTGCGAACAATCGACTGCCTCTCTTAGCTTCGGGATCCACAAGCCAAGCAGCTCAACTACCAGAAGCCTCAAATTCTAGCTCGTCTAAACTGCCTGAACCAAGAATGATCCCCGACAAACGAAAAGCCGAATCGCTGGAGTCTCAAGGCACCTCATCTGGGATGCGAGTAACGCGCTCTTCCCATCAAGCTCCCGAAGTCCGAGATACCTCAGGCGGAAGTCTTACCAACACACAGGCCTCTAAAAAAAGAAAAACTAAAGACAAGCGCCCCTCCAAGGCTGTCTCTGATTCTGATAGTGACATAGAAATGATAACCGGGGATCTCAACAATCGTCAGTGAAACACGCTCGATATGGAAAAAGCTTTATGCATAAATCATCGATATCTGTCCTGTTCGCTGATTGAGTTTTCTTTGAACTTTCTAGCTGCTGCGATGCTCCCCTGTCCAGTCTGTAACAGGCTCCTACGTAATTCGGACATGAATTCACACTTGGACAAATGTCTGGCCGGGACTGGTAATGTAAAACAATCTGTTACAACTTTTGCAAAATCTGGACGTCTAAAGAAAGCCGAGATAAGGAAAGGAGCGAATCCGAATGTACCAGAGAAAAAAATCCCATTACCTCATTTTAAATCTTTAAAAATGAAAGACTTCAAAGCACTTTTACAGCAACACCATCTATCTTGTGATGGGACTACAGATACGATGACGCGTAGACTGAATCGTTACATATTACTTCATAATGCTAGTCTGGATTCGGAACGTGTACATCGAAAATCACTGAAAGAGATTAGAGACGAAGTAGATAAATGGGAATCGTTGAATGATGCAGATGATGCTAATCGGCGTAAGCTATCAAACAATAACTCAGACTTTGCTGTTCAACAGATCGTTGGCAAACGTAAAATCACAATTACTAGTGAGGAAGAATACTTGAAGAAGAATAAAGAACAGTTTGCACATCTGACTACACAAGCGGCTTCTACGATGAAGAAGACTGTTCAACCTGTAAATGATGAAGAAGCCATCGAGACGTCTGAACCTGATGACCCAACTATTGGCGCGTCTGAAACTGATCGAACTCTTGCGACGCCGGAAGCTGACGACCAGACCATCGACATAGCTGAACCTAATGACCAAACCGTTGGCACGGCTGAAAATGTTCAAACTCTCGCGGCACCAGAAGATGACAAACAAATTCTTGACACAGTTGAGCATACAGATCACCTGGAGCAAGCTGAAGTTGAGATAAGCTCCAAGGTCATTCCACAAACCTGCGATAATCACCAGTTAGACAACCACCAGCAACTTCAAGAACCTACCTCACTCCCACCAGTTCTTCCTCGATCATCCATCACTCATAATCCTCAAATTGATCCTGCAATTGTCGCTTTGAATCAACTTCAACCTAGACGAAGTGAAGATGAATCGATGGATCACGAATTGCACCTTTCTTTCACAGGCTCGGAGCATCCCATCCAGACTCAGAACACATAATCATCAGTCCGCTTCGAAAATATAGAATCATTTACAATCACCTTTGAGCAATTCAAACACACTTGTATTTATAGAACCTTCGATTGATATGATGGTGTAAAGACTTTCTAAGCACGCCAAGTGTCTAATTTTATTTGATCAATTTTCTGACATTTGTATAATCCGTTTCTGTGCTATCTTGAATGATAAGTTAATAAGTTCCTTCAAATTGTTCAGTAATCTTGATTAATCCCCTAACATAACTCCGTTTCAAAGGATTAGTTGAATATATTGTGTCATGTCCGAATGCACTGGGATATCATTTGATTGAATTGGACCACACTGTCTGATGATGCTCAGCACTTGAATTTTGAACATCAGATTCATGTTGGGTTAAAAATACCCTGTGGATCTGATGCCTTCTATTTGATTCTTGCTGATCACCTTTCATCCTCTTTGGATACTCAAAAGAACCCCCAGCTTGAATAATCAGTGTGGTAGGAAAAAGACTGGACACCGGAGATGAAATCATTAATCAACCATAATAATACTTTGGTGTCCTAGAGAAGGTAAACTCTAGTTATCTTCACATATATGTATCCCAGTCCCGCTGATTCATCACCAGAGCACACCAGATATACACTCATGAGCTACTGACAACTTCATCAAGAAATCATGAGCACCTACTTGTTGATAGAGCTCTACCCTGTCAATCCAATCCTGGTGCAGATGTGCAAACTTTCAATTGAGCACAGAGATCGCAGCCACATACCTCGCTTGTGAACGTATTTCTGAGATGTTGATTATCTTCTATGTAGTCTTTTGGCAAATCTTCATCATGTGTTAAAAGTTGTGAGCCTTGATCATCAGATCCATCTATCCTTGAGTAAGGTGAGAGTTTGAAAAACGAGACAAAATCCAGCACATCTTCAAAGTGTGAAAAATCGTCACATCCAAAACCAATCAATCTGAAAGTTGAACCAAGAAATCCATGCCACAATTCAATAGGATGTGATTTTGTAGGATTTTGTTCACTCCACGTGTGATTGCAAGCATCTTGGTCATCATTTCCATGTGCCTCACACTATGGTCAGGATAATCTGCAGAAGTCACATCTTTTTGTAATCTTTTACACCAGGTAGGCACTTCTCACAGTCAGATTATGTTTTTTTCATGCCTGATTATCTTCACAAAAGCTTCACTAGACCTTCTAGACTACTTGTTTTGAACTCAACTCACCATTGACGTTGCTGAGCTCATAGTCATTCAAACATTTATACGATTCTGCAAAGAGTGACAGAGGTAAGTTGTTTAAGTGACCCATGTCACATGACCTTGAGAGGCTAGCCCTTGCAATATTCCGCTTCCTCACTAACACCAAGTTATATGGTTTGAAAGACAAAAGAGGAAGCCAGGCTATCTCCAACTTCTGTTAATGTCTTTTGGCTATATTGCAAAATCTTGACAACTTTTTCAAGTAAGACGAATTGCAACTGATCAAGTCGTCACATCAGACTCCAAGCTAATGTGATAACTAAAAAGATTCGTTCAATAGTTCCACTCGATTCTGATGTTAATAAAGAAATGTTAAGAGGCTAAGAATTGAAAATATTCCCAGATGAAGCTTACGATCAAAAAGTCTTGATTGAAATGACCCATAATAGCTAAACCAAACCGATTTTTTTTTCTAAAAAAAAAATGAAGTGACTTAAACCATAATCTTTCAGAAATTAAATTTCAACAAGAACATTATAATTAGACATGAAGAAACGAGTGTAAAGAATGATTTGAGAGGGAAACAGAGTCAAGACAAAACAAAAAATGAATCTCAAGAAATCAAGTTGAAAAACTACCAAGAAAGTGAACAATTCTCTCTTTCTAATGTTTTAAAGAAAATCCATTTCGACGTTTGTGTTTGAATTTTGAAGTATAACCACCTGAAAGAGGTGCACCACCGGTTGCAGCATGTACTTCTTTAGCAGACCAACCCATCACATTTCCAGGACTTCGAAATCAAAAAAAAAATCAATTCATACATCAATTTCTCTAAAAGTCTTGATTCTTTCTACTTGAGAGATGAATTACTCACGGGTCATATTCACAAACCCAAAACTTAATCGGACCTGGACCAAGTGCTGCACCACCAAAAGAATCACAAGTTGTCAAAGCACATCCGATCTCCTTCGTATCAGCCCACACAACCTCTACCGACCGAATCACATCATCAAAACCAAAAATCATCAAAAGATCAGTTTTTGTGATCTTTTTGTAATCTTGATTTTCTTCAAAGGAATCTTACGGGTGTAATGAGAATGACTGGTTGGATCTGATCGAACATATGAATCTCTTTCACCAGGTCCAAAGACCCATTCTTTCATAACTTGTTCAATCGATTGTTGTCCAGCTGCAATATTCTATTTGAAAATTAAAAAAAAAAAAAGTTAAACAAACACACAGGAGCGAAATTAATCTTTGATGTAAGAAAAATTCCTTCAAAGATCAAGTTTGATCGATATTTCACTTACTTCTCCATATTGATTATTAGATGTATGTTTAAAAAAACAAGTTTGAGAATGTTGAAGGGCTGAAGCAGCTAATTTCGAACTCCATTTCACATCTCCTACGGTATACATCTTTCGAACCTTGTTGTGCCCGTTTACCCATCTACATAGATCGAACACGAACTCATTGGTTCAATTAGATATATATGTAATCAAAATAAGAAGAACAAGACAATTATTACGCGTATCACTCACCGATCAATATCACTACCTTGATCTTGTGAAGCCGCCCCATAGACCGGTAATAAAGGATGAAGATTAAGTAAAGGAGTTGGACTTTGAGGATGAACATTTGATGGTCGAGCCGGAATACTCTGAGGATGAGAATAATGCGTTGGATTAGGTTTCAGAACTTTCTTTGTGGAAGACAGTTGGGCCGAGATTGCAGCTGGAATAGAAGCTGGAATTGCATGCGAGATAGCCGCTGGAATTGGAGCAGGAGCAGGAGCAGGGGCAAGAATACGAACCGGAACAGGACGAGGACGAGGGATTGTAGCCGGTTTTACAACAGGAGCAGGAGCGTGAACTGGGACATGAACTGGAGTTGGAATAGAAGGTTTTTGCTTATGATAATGTGGTTTCTCTTTCGGTTTGTTCTTTGGTTTATTCTTTGGTTTGCTCTTTGATTTCTTCTTTGATTTCTTCTTTGATTTCTTCTTTGAAGCTGGTTTGATGGTTTGATTAGAGACCACAGTCTTGCTTCTCTTGGTTAATGAAGGATGATTTATTTTGGAAATCGGTAGATCCCGACGTGAAAGATTTGTGGAAAGGCTCTTGACTGAATCAGAAGAACTTTCGAGTTGATCAGTCAAGACCGGTGTTAATAAAAGTACTAAAAGTAAGAAGAGATGAAGACGAATGGTAGTGAATGAGTTGACCATGTTGAAGGCAGTGAGATGATCTGACGTGAAGAAAGATCTACCAAGACGCAAACAAGAAATCCTGTTAAGTTATAAGTAAAATCACGCTCAATAGCTTCGACGTTTGTAAGTAAAAGGAACAAAGGAAAGAGAAGAGCCGGGGAATTTAATCGAAATAATTTTCAAGACTCAAGAGTATCTTGTACACATATTTTGATATTTTTTTGATATGTTGTACAATACATAGAATTGCATTTAACAAATTTGTTGTACACACTCGTAGGATATCCTCATATGATATCCCACAAAAAATAACTTGAACAATGGCAAGTTGCAACAAAATCGACGTCGAAAATCACGATATAAATATGTTTGTTGAGTTTATTGACACATCCTCTAGAAATGTCAATGTCATAAGTATTATGCAAAATTCATGCCAAGCTTAATTTCAAATTCACAACTCATGTTTCTCAGCCTCATCCAGGAGAGGGTCCGAGGGACACTGACAGTCATGAGCCCAGGACTCAGGAGGAAGAAGTTGCCTTCGCCGGCCGATCCAATGGCAAAAGGACGTGTAGAATAGGTGTGCCATGATTCTTCACCCATTCCTTTTCTCAAGTCATGGACGAGAAGAAGAGATCCGGCACGTCTGTCGAGTGTTTGGAGCGCCATGATGATAAACACAAGGCCGAGGATAAGAATAATCACACTGGAACACCTGACCAGAGCGAGAATTCGCTGTTCGCCGAAGAGCCGAAAACAGTCACCACCGCCGCACCATGCACAGATCTGGGGGAGGGTGGTGAGACTTGTGAGGCTCTTGTTCAAGCTAACTCACAGGCCATCATATCTCGCGTAGTAAGGCATAGCCTGATAATAAGTGAAGAGAATTCTTAGTTTTATGTGAGATGTTAATTTTCTTTACAACCTTTTCAATGGTAAACTTTTCCTAATGAAATCCAAAACCCATTTACAAATAAACACAAACCACAAAACACAACAGAACCAAAACAAAAAAAAATGCAAAATGAGAAGAAAAGAAAAGAAAGAAATCAAAAAAAGAACGAAGTTTATTCAATTAGTATGTACAAGAATCTAATAAATATAAAAAACCTTTTTTGAAAGATTTCGTTTTTTTCCTAAATTAAACTTTAATCCAATATATGATGAAAAGAAAAAAATTTCCAACCAAAAGAAAGAATGATTAAATCTATATAACTGAATAAACTAGAATTATTTTTTTTTGAACAAAAAAAGAGATGTAGTTAAAGAGCCAAAGAAAAAAAAAGGATGATTTGAGAGGTAGAAAGAGGAAATATATTTGATTATAAAACAAAAAATGATAAGATGTAAGGGAAAAAAAAGGTAACCAAAACTTTTCAATCCGTTTATTCTAAAATCTATACATTCAACACAAATCCTTCCTGCTCTTTACAACATATATGATATTGAAATTTAAAACGACTAGACTGAAGAAGAAAAAAACAAACATAAAATTAAACAACAGTAGAACTTGAATTGGATCTAGAATTAGAATTTTTAAGAATCGATTTAGGAGCACTTAGATTACTATCACCTCTTGTCCGTCTAGGCTGATGATCATTAGAAGCCAAACTTTTTCTATAAAACTCAGCATCAGAACTTCCACTTCCACTTCCACTTCCACTATCGTGTGATTTCGATTCAGTGATCTCTTGTTCTTCTTGTGGTTCGGTTAAGATCGGTTTCCATTCGATTTCATTCTTTAATCTACTACCTCCTTTAACTACTCCATTCATCCCTCTCGGTACTCCTTCATCATTAGATTCACTTCTTCTTCCGATCTCTTCTGAATTTCTGACTGCTAACGATTCTCGAACGGCTGAAATTATGGATCGGTATTTCAAATGATCATTCTTTTGATCTTGACTCCATCTTCTTTGTACTTTTGATTTTCGTAGGAAGAAAAAACATAGAAAAATGTTAATACTTTTTGGCATAGAAATAACTTGGATTCAAGTGGAAGTGAAACTTTCAACTTACGAAAACAAAAATAACTTTCGCTAATTCCAAATAAGATCCATAAGATCCCACAAATCCCAAGTTGAGCCCAAGTCCAAATATTACAAAGTGTTTTAGATTCATTCGAAGGCGTTTCAGTATTATCGCCATCAGCAGAAACAAATTGTAATAGACATTGTTCAATGGCAGTGCTATGTTGTTGAGCTGATAGGATCATGATCACTAAAGAATATCCTAGAGTGATTATGACAAATGCAAAGTTAATATAAAGATATATTCTAAAGATTTTGACCCTTTCTTTGTATACACCATAGAAGCTATTTTCAAAACAAATCGGTTTCCAGTATCATTAGCTCGCTTCCTTCTGTTATTTTTCTCCCTCATGTCCACTGGAGATCAATGATAAAACTCACCCCATCAGTTGAAAGACTCCGACCAAGATACATAAGACACCCATGACAGCCGTCAAAGGCTCAGGTACAGCAATCGCAATGACAGAAGGAGCCGCAAAGGCCAAAACGCCAGCCACAAAACCAAAGACTGTGAATTGAGCCAAGATAACGTAGATCCCAGTATTATAGAGTGGTATAGCAAAGCAACAATAATGATCACTATGAATGGGTTTCTCATTCATCAAATCATTGAGTCTAGGTTCTGGTACTTTAGGTGGTCTAAGTCTTGGTCTTCTCGAAGCTGCCAAGGAATCTGTTAACCTTCGAGTGGATGGAATCGGTTTGGTGATTATGGTTGGAGTGGGCAATGAAGGTACATCGAATTTCAAATCACGAATGGTATGTCGAAGTCGAAGTCGATTGGATCCGGTCGATTGACGCACAGGTGGAGGTCGATCGAGGTGAGAATCGAAAATAGGTTTTGATAATATCAATGTGTTTTCATCAGCGTCAGTATCATCAGTATCGTCATCATCATTTCCAGGAATGATAGATAAGGCAGGTGATAAAGCAGGTTGACAGCGGTAAAGAGGAACAACAGCAATGTGAGTGATTGGAACCACATTGACCGGTTGACCATTAGAAGGTACCACGACCACACGATCAAGGTGCGCGGCCATACGTGAAGATTGCGCCAGAGAAGAAAAGTTGGTGGATTTAGAACAGTGAGATAAATTCGGAGATTTAGATTTGATCGGAGATGGATCCGATCCAAATTCAAATTCAGGTGATTGAAAAGAATCAGAATCAGAATCAGAATCAGAATCGAATCCGGACATATGAGGTTCAGATTGAGGTAATGAATAAGTTTCCAGAAAGGTTGTTGGTTGGATCATGTCATGTATGGTGGTTAAAGTACGTTCATGAACCAATGAATCGGGAATAACAGCGATATTGTTTGCGAGGGTATTATGTTCAGATGAAGTCAAGCAAGTGGAATGGTCAGTTTGATGAAAACCATCGTCCGAGATCATGTCAATAACGAGTGGAAGTTCAGGTGACGGTAGAATTGGTGGTGAAGGCGGCAATGGGACATTGGTAGGATCATTAGACACCACGGCATTCGTGAAAAGGTGATGAGGTCGTTCGCCATGATTATTGAAAGTGTGTGAATCAGGAATCGGAGCGGGGAAAGCAGATACACGACGTTCCGGAAGATTAGCCGTGTTTGATGACGGATTGGAAGTGAGAAATAATGGGTTGATATCGGTGGCAGGGAAGTGTTGAGTGATACGATGGGGTTTGACAAGATTTGACGTCGGTGATTGATCAATTGATGTAGTAGATGATGTAGTCGGATCAGCAGAATCAGTTTTTGGATGCGAAGATTGTTGATTTGATTCATTCAAAGTAACATTGGATGCGATTGGGGTGGTTTCAGATTGGTGTGAATCAATACCCAAGGTCCCATCCAGTGCGATCATGTATGGTTCATCAAGTCCGGCATCATCAGGTTCATCAATCGGAGAAGTTTGTTGGGTATCGTTGATAGAACCATGACCAAAGGTAGGACAGGAAAGAGGTGATGTTGCAGATGGTAAATTGAAATGAGAATCGTGATCAGATGCATTGTGATCCGGTATTGTGTGAGTGTTTGATTCAGTCAGAGATCGAACAGATAGAGTAGCGGTAAATGAATCATTCGATTGAGAAGATCGAGTAGCGTTAGATGAGTCAGGTGAATGTGTTGAGGAGGATGATTGTAATTGAGAATTGCGTTTGGAGTTCAAAGTATTTGAATCGAGATCCAGTTGAGGTAAGGTATTCACATTGGGATTTGATTGTATTGATTGAACATCATCCGAATGAGCAGAAAGGCATGAAGCGAAATGAGAATCGGATGAAGAGATTTCCGAATCAGATTGAATCCCATTAGTTGAAATCACATGATTGTTTTCGAGATTAAGGATTGAATTATGATCATTGTCGAATGAGATTGGATGGTTCAGAATATCGATTGAGAGAATTGTGGATGGACCAATGGATTGTTGATAAGGCGGTGATGATGGAAGTGGGATTTGAGTAGGATCCAATTCGATTTCCATGATTGAAGTTGAATATTGAACATTCGAATTGTAAAAGTTGAGGAGAAGGGAAAAAAGAAACAATCACAAGATTAGTATGAGCTCAACAAATCGAAGCAGTTTGATGCTGTCCACATTCATGTAGAATCAAGATGCAAACAAATCACAAGAAAGTGATTAACACAATGAGGTCAAGATTGAATTGAAAAGCAAATCAATTCTGAAAGCCAGATGCACCGATGGTTCTTTGTGATGTACCTCGGAAAAGAGGATGCCGAGAAGAATCATAAAAGATTGTCAAGGTCAAAAGGAGTGAAACAAGTCGACGGAAGACTGGTAACTTTGAAGGATTTGATTGGGATTCAATCGATATCAAAAAATTCAAAAAGTCAAGTTGATCAAGACTCGCCTGAATCATTTTGTGAATTGTTGTCGAGAGTTGAATGTTGAAAAGCAACCGAGCCACGCGTAGATGTCGAAGCACTTGCTAAAGGATTAGGTGGAAGTAAAGGTTGATCTAAGTTCTGATGGATTGGTTTACTGTACTCGGATCTAAAATCACTTGTTCTTGATGAGATTGATAGTTGATGGGAATGATGATGATGAGGTTGATGAAGTGGATGTGGTGGTATTGGTAGTGGTGATGAAGGTGGTTCTTGTGGATTTGTGAGTGGTACGATTTCAAAAGGACTTGAATCTAAATTTAATTCAAGTTTGGGAGTCGATATGGAATGGTTCATGGTTTTGATTTGATGAAAGTATCAAGTTCGTTCAATAACTTTCAATCCGATTTGAAGAGATCGAATCGAAAACAAGTTGAGAAGATGATACGATGAGTTCTGATGGTTTGTTTTGAAGCTGAGCTTGGATGGTTTGATAGTGTTCTGTTTTGTTTCGAAAGAGTTTTTCAGTCAACCGAATCGAATATGGCTTCGATTACATAAATCGAATGGATTGTATTTAAATTTTACATAAATCACTTTTAACTTCAATCTCACACGATCAGTCAAATTCAATCATCAAAAGTGTCTTGTTGAAGTCAGAGTGGTGTTTGACCCTGAAGATTCTTGGACATTCGAACAAAAATAAATCATACCCTATCAAAGTTTGAAGTTTGAACTCACATACTAAAAAGATAGATGTGAATTTTCTTTGGCAAGGATCTTGGACAACTGGATGATTCTTATTTCTCATTTAAATTCTCACACAGTTGATGTTTTGATGCTCCATGTAAGTACAAAAGTCGTGTCATTCTTGATCGTGGCTGAACTCAAGAACTCAAGGCATTGAATTCATAGACAGCCTCGACATAACATTTCGGATCACATTTCGGATCCAAGAAAGGTAAACAAAACCCTTCACATAGATGGCCGTAAGGATCACTTCCAATATGGTCATGAAGGTGAACACAACTTCAAAACTGATCTTAGAATCATAGCTTGGTTTGAACAGCTAGGATGCGAGACTTAAAATCCAAGAACTCGAACCGAAGGCGCCACAAATTGATACGAGTAGAATGAGCAAGCGAAGGAATCGTTCGAATCGCGCTATCAACAGCTTGCTTTTGGAACTGAATGATTTTTTTGGCAACCAAACCAATCAATTCACAGCGCAATAATTATAGGAAAATGAATGAGGCTTACCGCATTTACCATTGCAAAAGGCACACCCGGCAGATATCGCACAGTATGTAATAGTATTAGGACATGATCGCTTCTGAAGCTTCGTCTGGGGATTTCAGAGTCAATAAGATCGTCAGTGGGGAGAATTAGATCCAATACTCCTTGTCAAAGGTTGATCAAGGACGCACATTGGGTGAGGGTGCAACAGTTCCAAACAGAAAAAGAGCCAAAAACTGCGTAACAAGAATTGCAATAACAAGGCGTGACTATAAGGGCACAAATCAGTCAGTTGAACTTGAAGAAGCAAGGGGAACCAAGTGAAAATCACAAACCATATCTTCGCGCTTAGACACTTGAGCTCTAGAATTGAGAAGGGTATGTAAGAAACCAATTGGAGAGCACGACAGAAGTTGTGTGTTATAGTCCGGATAGTTTATCAAAGCCAAACCAAGTCCTATAGCGCTGATAACAAAAGTTTTTGTGGGAGCAGGGGACAACAGACAACGCTCGATGAGAGGACTATTTATGTGATTTGAGCACAGCTATTTTTACCTCGCGATACTAGAGGCAATTTGCTTACCGCCCGCCAAACAGTTGGTTAGTTTTTGGTGACCTTCTTGTTGGTATCAATTTCGTCATTGTCTGGTTATTTGAATTACAAGTGTTATTGGTAATTGGTGTTGCGATGGGATTTGTCATTCATTCCCTGTGAATTTCAAAAAAACTTGTCCAATTCTGAACAGGTTTTTTGGCAAAACTCGAGGAAATCGGCGCTGGAAGTTCGGCAAGCTTTGTGCAATCGCCAGTCATCCCACGGGTATTGTTGGTGTTGTCAAATTGTTGGTGTCGTCATTAGGCCTAGAGTTAAAAGGCTGTTGTGTGATATGTACTTGCAAGATCACCGGGGTTCGTCGGAGTACATAAAATCGGAGTTGGCGCGCATACCCAGGAAGGATCATCTTCAAGAGAGATGAGAGAGAAAGAGGTTTAAAATGATGATTTGATCAAGAAGGGAAAGGTAAAGAGGAAGAAAGGCCAAGGGAAAGTGAAGAGAGGTCAAGTTTAAATAAGAAAAAAACTAAAAAACCATTTCTTTTCTGCTGTTGACCAAATGACATCATAGCTTTCAAGCAAATCAGACTCAAGAACCTTGAGTAAGCATTCAAACTCATCCTTCTTCACAGCACATTACTAAAGAATCAGATGATGACTCAGATGAGCATACCAGCCGAACCAAACTCAACTTCATGCAGCTCACTAAGCACCAAGACTGAAATCAATCCACAGCCATCCAAGAGATTGTAATCCAGAATCTGACCAATCCCACTAAGTAGATAAGCCTTCAAGCTCACTTCAGTCAAGTAAGAAGACCCATCATTCTGAGTTATAATGGCTCATCAAAGAAAAAGATTCACATCCAAAAAGAACATACATAAACTTTATTGGGTTCTTATTATAAACTTATTTCAAAAAAGCAAAACAAAATAAAAAGAATATACAATGTAAATTCGAAAAAAAGATCCCTTCTAAAAAGTTATATCTGAGCATATACATATTCTCAACTAAAAGTCTAACCAATCATTACTGTCAAATGAGAAAAACCATAATATTCATCATCAGCAAAAAAGAACATAACCAAACCAACCAAACCGCACGACTCACAAATAAACACAATCAGCAGGATTGACAGGAGCCACCCCACCACCCGCTCCAAGTCCACCTAAAGCACTAAACCCAGCACCAATGCCGGCCAATCCATTCCTAGGTAATCTTTCCAACTCGATTCCTAAACTTCGACTCAAGACTCCTTGATCGGTTTGACCTCTGAATTGCCATGATTTACCTTTAGAAGAACAAAACTCAAACGAAGGACAATGTCCACATGGCATATCAAAGAAGCCTGAAAGTTTAGGTGGTAAGCTTATCGATCCTTTTGGGTCACTTTCTTCGATTTTGATGTCCTCTTCTTCTTCTTCTTCAAGATTGGATTGGTGGTTCATGATAGGTTGTAAGACTCGGTATACAAATGCTTCGTTATCTGGTAAGATCCTTCTTCTTCTGCTCGCTGCTGAGACTCTTTTCGGTTTGATTTCTTCTTCTTCTTCTTCTTCATCCTCATCTATTGATTTCATATTAAAATCTTCATCAAGTTCTAGATCAAGTTCATCATCATCATTTCTTGACCGTTTCTTCGGAACCGTAGATTTCCCTTTATTTTTAATCTTAGATCGTACAGTAGGTTTTTTCTCAGATCCATCTGAATTCTCTTCTTCTTCTTCTTCAAAATCTTCTTCTTCTCCTTCAATCTTGGCTGTTCCTACTGTGATCCGTTCGACAACTCCATCAAAGACTAATACATCTAAGAGGGTTAGAATATGTTCTGCTGTGAGATCAGTGCCTTCTTGGATGATTTGAGTTTGTTTCAAGTATGCTAAAACGTCATGAACAGTGGTAGGTAGGTAAGGAGTATGTGAAGTTGGATAAAGAAGAACTTTTAAAGGATCTGTTGAAGAAGAACTAACAGGAGGATAAGACTTAAATCAAAGGAAAAAAACGAAAACCAAGGATCCGTTAAATTTTCCTCTAAAATCATAAGGAATTTCAAAAGAAAAAAAATCACTTACCCGATCTTGTAAACATTGATGAATACTTCTCAACAAGACCGTAATAAATTCAGTATCTAATTCATTATCAGTATACCAAGGACCTCCACTCAATTCGATACTAGGTTGTAATTCAGATAACATATAAATCTTTCGAGTTGGAAATTTAACACTCTTGACGGATTTAATTAAGTTTTTGTTTTCCAAAGATTTTAAAAACTTGTTGATATTACTTTGATGGATGTTTGTTCTGGCTTTTAAAGTTTTCGTCCACATTCCTTTTGATGATTTGGGTTTGGGGGTGAAGAAAGGAATGTGGTCAGAAGTTTAGAACTTGATTCGTCTTAGTTTATGGGGATTAGACAAATACCTGTGTTGCCTGAACTTGCGATACTGTCATAGACCAACTTCTCATCCGCTGTCATGTTCGAGTTCCTACAATAATGATCGAACATAAGTTTTTATGATATCCTTTTACCAGAACTAGAAATGCACACTCACGCTCTCTGTTGTGTCTTATCAACTGCAGTATAAAATAATTCATCTTGCAAACGTTTGACTTGAAGCATACCCTACAGAAAATGAAAGATATCTCCTAGAGTCAGTGATGTAAAAAAAATTGAATGGAATGAAATGACTGACTCTGGCTATTAAACTATTAGCTACATTCATCTTTTCAACTACATCCAACTTTGGCATAGCAGCCTGAAGTTCTTCATGACTCAAAGTCTTCCATACACCCAAAACCGAAAAAAAAGCAATTCAAGTTAGTTTTGTCTGTTGATTCAAGTTAGTTTTGTTTTGTTGTTGATTTATAGAGATTTAAAGAGTGATAATCTTAATTGACCCTTTGTTCTGCATTCACACATTTTGAAAAAAGTTCTCTTTCATCTTTCGATAATTTACTTTGAGCATTATTGTTAGAAGTTGAAGTCGATGGTTTTGATTCTTGATTGATTTTTGATGTTGTTGATTTGATAGTTGTAGTGGGTTTTGCTTTGGGTGGCATTTTTGGTTAATGTTTCTTGAGTTTTGTTGGGGTGGTGGTTGGTTGGATTGATATTGAAATCCGATCTCAAGGTGAATGCGGCTTACACTGGTTTATAGGTATAGAGAGGAATGGTCATGTGACTTGTAGACTGGAATATGCTTATAGCTGGTTTCAATCACCGTCGCGTGTGTTTGTCAAAACTTTCAATTTCGCTTGAAGCCCCTTACCATTCCCAATCAAGAAGAACCCATCAGCATTCGAGACTCGACTGGATTCTCATCATAATCAAACCATATCGATTGAGATCTTGGAAAACGATCACACCTTTCAATCGGTCTTCCTCACAATCTCGAAGCTTTCATGGCACCATCATATCCAAACCTAGAAAAATGGCTCGAGACTGGAATCTTACCCGATTTATCAACCGAATCACGTACCATAAAAGATTATATGAAAAAAATCGAACCAGATAATTTACAAACTAAACTAGACAATCGAATGACGGAAACGAAATTAAAGACGTTAATCAATGAAACCCTCAGTGAGATTAGAGACTTAAAAGGTCCATTTGAAAGTTTAATAGATCTAGGATGTGGTTTAGTAGAATGTGAAGAAACAGATCAAGAGATCTTACAAGTTAATCAAGAAGTTTTAGATTTGATTGAAACTATTAAGGTTTTGGAAATTCGTAAAGATGTGTTGTCTGATTTAAGAGAAACGATTTATCATTTTGATCAACAAGATCAAGATCAGGATCAACAACATCATCAAACTCCTCCTGATTTAAATCGAGAATTTAAAAAACAGTTTGAAAATAAATTAGTGGATTGGAATTCACTTTCGACACGTAAGAAGTTTGCGACTCATCCATCTTTTAAAGAGTTTCGTAAAGCTATTTGGGTTGAGTGGTTTGATCATCATTTGTTTTTTTCATGATTCAGATAATCTAACGCGTCTTTTTTTCTTTTGAGAAGAGTCTTGCTGATATTGGGAATTGGTTTTGATTGATAGACCGCTCGAGGTACATCAGATGTGATGCCCCCGGTCAAGTCATATCTTCCTATAGGTAAGAGTTCTATCGACACCATCATTTAACAACGTATCGTTTGGAACTGTCACCACTTACCACTTTCTCCACTCGATTGACTCAATTTCAAACCAAACCAACAGAAGAAGGCGATTCAGATGATGATTCAGATGATGAAGAACTAGCGATCGGAGGAGGCACTCAAACCTACAAATGTCCACTCTGTATCAAATTCTTAACGAATCCATATAGATCTAAGTTATGTCGACATGCGTTTTGTCAAACCTGTTTTGATCAACATTTCATTCAAAACAATTCGACTGTAGTAGGTTGTCCACAATCAGGTTGTCATCAATCTTTAACTCGAAATGATGTTGAACTTGATGAAAGGTTTATGGCTGAGATCAAACGTGCTAAGAGAAGAATCGAAAGACAGGAAGCAGAGGCAGAAGAAGAAGAAGAAGAGGAGGAAGAGGAAGAAAATCAAGAGGATGGAAACGGTTTGGATCATAAAGGGTCTCAGAAGAAACGTGGTTCTCAGAACAATCGTAGAAAGAGGCCGATTGTTGTGGATGATGAAGATGAATGATATATGTTGGTGGCCTATGTTTTCTTTTAAAATAGTATGTATGATTTTAGCTTTACTGAAGAATATTGAGACGGTCTTGGGCTTGTTTAGGTTTTATAGTGTTTTGAGTGAAATGCTCAATACAAAGTAAAGAGATTACAAGATCTGATCTATCGAATTCAACTTGTTCTTTCAAACATTCTTGATACTATTACGTTAATCATTACATCCTTTTGCCTTACATATATATATCTGTTTCTTTCAAAACCTTCATAAATTTGTTGATCACCCTCTTTAGTTTGTACTTTATTACCTTACATTGTTGGTTTTATTTCGTTACTTCTTTCATCATCATGCGTTCCTTTTTCAAAAGTTATAAAGTCAATGTTTTGCTTGAATATCTTATGATGGGTGGTACAGTAAAAAGCTTTTGGTGTTTCATATCGCACCACATATTAATACAGGATAAAAAGTGAATGCCATTGGCAGCCAAAGAAGATGTACAAGAATGTATATTAAGTTGTCCATCAATTTTGAAGGAATATAGAAATTTTAGTGGGTGATCTGGATGATGGGAAATTGAGAAATTGGATTATATGCACCGAATCCTCAACCCACTCCACTCACCGGTTGACCAAAAACTATCATTTCCATCCTTGAAGCTTGGGGGTATTTTACCGTGACGCAAACGTTTGCCGATCCCCCGCCCGGGCTCCCCCAAAACAAGCTTCGACCTCAGCCGTGATCATAGGCCAAGGTCGAAGATAAATGCGTGCATGTAGAATATCTTAAAACAATAAGAGACTACTTAAGCTTATCCGACGCGGACACGTCCGCTTTTTTTTGAAGAAGGGACTACATTTTAGAAAGAGGGTTTTGATAACATGTACAATAATAAAATCTCGTATAACAACTCTTCAAAACAAAAGTTAGATGCCCTTCTTTCTGCAGAAGTTTGTAACGTGTACAAGTTCAATGCCCCACTTGGAATCAAACTTTCTTAACTCCGATGAATACAATTGACTCAAGAAGGCCATCTGCCTTAGCTTAACTTCTGAAATGATATGTTCCACGTAAAGGAAATGTTTTGGCTCTTTAGTGCCACATATCATAACACTTCCTGATCATGACTGGAAAATATAGTAGGACATGTCTTGCGAACATCTTGAGGTTTGATTCTTGTAAAGATGCAAGACCCCATCACAGGCAAGATATGGAGGCAATCTTTTGGAAAAATTGACGTCATCAAGCATCCTTCCCGAGCTCTCAAACACGCTTTCAAGGGGATGGTCCGAGCCAGTGGCAAGCTTTGTGCAATCAAGAGGATGTGCATATGTAGTTTGAACACCGAATGCTGAGCTTGGCTTCATTCAAAGACCTGACACTTCAGGGCCGGGTCATACCCCTACCGGGCACAGATCTGTGAATATGTACACAAGTACATACATACATATTCGGGTCACCGCCGAAGTGAGATCACCGGGTGAGATATTTTGTACATAGGTGGACACAAACTATCTCGGATGTGACCCTGATTTGTACGATATCGGACATGGATCTCAAGACTTGAATGAATTGGACATATATTCTGCTCTATCTCGTAACCAGTTGTAAACTCGGTCATGGCGTATGATTGATTGATCATCAGCAAACTCAGGTTCGCCGACTTGAAAAAACTCCAGACGGATGAGTAGCCGGAATGTTGATGAAGAAGAGAAAACTTTCCCCCGCGGATTGGCATGATGCTCTCCTGAAATGAGTTTTTGAATTCCAACCTTATTACGATTCGCAACTCAGCCGGTGTAAACTGAAACTTGGGTATACTTGGATCAATCGAGCGATTGTCAGTGAGCTGTTGTCATTGGCTCCCCTTCAACCTTTTGAGGGGGCTGGGATCTTTCTCGGTTCTCCGTTCCGTTTAACTTTTACACCCCAAAGAAATTGCCGATATCCCGGCGTTGAAAAAGTTGCCACTGTGACCTGTTGTGAAGGTATTTAAGCTCATTGAAGGGATGCTTCCGTTCCGCTAATTTTTCATTAGTATTCTCTTGGTAACAGGCTTTAAAGCCCTTTGGAGTATGACAGTAGCATATTATTTCCTGATCATGACATTAATCTTTCAACTGTGCTTGACCTCCAGCTTTGCTATACGTGCCTTGTGGGTTTCGTCTCAGACTTTTGCGTCTCATGGCCTTCTACGTGAAATATTGATAATTCTGTTGTCCATAGCGCCGTACTGGCCGGCGGTATCGTGTTAGCTCTATGTTGGGTTTTTCTAAGGAGCACCTCCTCTCCTCTCGCCGCATTTCCGGGACCCGACCCACAGGACTGGATCTTTGGAAATCTTTTGGAGGTCGTAAGTCCCGTGCCTGATTTCATCGTTCGAGCCTTGTCCATATATTCGGATGACATTCATAATGAACGTGTTCATGTTCGCCAACTCAGTTTGAGTCAGAGCACGGTGCACCTCATGAGAGATGGGCGGAAAAGTATGGACATGTGTTTGTTTATCAATGTCTTTTTGGGGTTAGTGTGCTGCTCATACTTGCATTCTTCATGCCTGAAACCAAAGCTGACATAGGATGGAGCGAACAATGTGACACAGGAGAAACGTTTATCTACCATCGATGCAAAAGCCCTTAATCATATATTACTCGAAAAAGCAGAGCTCTACCCAAGAACACCATCGGACTTGAGGGAACTGGATCACTCATTGGGACATGGGATCGCTAGCGCCCAAGGTGAGTTCTTCAAAAATACTTGAGCATGGCCCCTCATTCTCATTTTATAGATATCTTTCGAGCAGGCTGATCAAGTATCTTATCTTTTTCATGGACACAGGTGAACCTCATCGACGACAAAAGAAGATGCTTCTTCCCTTCTTTTCCCCTACACAATTAAAGGAAGCTTCCCCTATGTTTGAAGAAAAGTCCCAACAGGTGAGACATCTCTTTTTATGTAACAAAACTACATCCGCGTCGATAGTACTAATTGAACGTATGAGGTCTAGTTGTGTTCAATTCTACGTCAAATGCTCGAAGACAACGACTCATCTTCTAAAAATGATAAAAATATGATAGTGGACATGTATGCTTGGTTCAACCGTGTCACCTTGGATATTGTCAGTGATTCCTACTGTTTTTATCCTCCTTATTTAAGCTTTTTCATACTCTGAGCTATACGGAAACTATTTTTTCTTAGATTGGACAAGCAGGTTTTGGCCACAGCTTCAACTCCCTACTAGGTGAAGATCATGTAACTAGAGCGCTCAACCGCCTTTTGTGAGTTCTTGCACGCCTCAACATGTCTTTGATCAATATATTCTTCATTCAATGCCCACTGACAAGACCGTTTCCGACATTTAGCTGCTCCGGTGCCTTTCAGTATACAGGGATCACCTTTCTTATACGCACAGCGGTCAGGGAATTCACTTTCCTACAGAAATTCATCCGAACACAACGCACGAAAGCTATGAAAGAAGCCTTACGTATTCTCACGGAGCAAGGCTGGAAGATTTACGAAGCGAGACATTCAGAAGTTACTTCAGGTTTGGAAAAGGACAAAAAAGATTTGATCACTCTTTTGATTAGGGAAAACTCCAAGACCACTTCAGGAGACAAGCTTCGAGAGGATGAGATCATGTCACAAGTGAGAGCCTTGAATTCTCAGCTTCTTGTAATTCTCATAAAGAACATATGAGAGGACACTTACGAACGTTTTTGTGATAGATATCGACCTTCATAGCGGCTGGAAGCGAAAGTAGGTGAAGTGGCATATCAATTTGTACGATAGACTCAAACTGATTAGCTTTTGTCGTGTTATTCTACCTCACCAGCGACTGCTACCTCTCTGAGTTGGGCCACGTGGTTAATGACTCGGTACCCTGAAGTTCAAGTCAAGTTGCGCAATGAGCTTTTGAACGCTCTAGAGAAGTGCCCCACTGGCAGTCTCGAACCGGAGATGATATATTCTCTGCCGTATCTGGATGCGTTTTGCGTAAGTTAGCTCTATTGATGTGGCCATTTTTCCGATTAGTCTCGTGACGAGGTAGTGCCGGAACGTCTGACATGAATAGAAACAAGCTGAGTGAAACTTACCTTACAATCTCTGAAATTCAGCGCGAAGTATTGCGCTTCATACCCCCCGCGACAAGCATGTTACGGCAAGCCATATCATCAGATCAGATACCTCTTTCTACCCCAGTCACACTTCGTAACGGGGATATAGTCAACTCCATACCTATACAAAAAGGACAGACGATTTTGATTCCCATCAGTGCTTATAATCGCTCCAAATCCGTGTTCGGTCCTACTGCTGATCAATTCGATCCAGAAAGATGGATGTCCAAAAACTCGGAGCGAGAAGGAGATTCAGGTGTATCTATTTCAGGACAAGCTGTCGGACTATGGGCAGGTCTCTTGAGCTTTGGGACAGGCCCCAAGTCGTGCATTGGATACAAGTTCTCTGTGATGGAGATGAAGGTGATCCTGGCTCACTTGCTATTGGAATTTAAATTTGAAGAGAGGGATCCAGGAGGTGGACCTCTGATCGAAAGAAGAGCCAATAGTGTGAGTCAAATAATTCACTGAATGTGTCCTTTATCTGGACTGTATGCATGAATTGATAATTGATGTGTGGAACAACAGGTTGTCAGACCGAGGATAGCAGGCAAGAAGAATGGCGCTGAGATGCCTCTTCGGATTAGCTTTTGGAAACAGTAGTGATTCTTCATTTCTTTAAAGGTTGACAACTTCCATCGAAAAGATGTACTTGTAATTTTGGCTTATGGGCAGCGTTTATTATGAAACACACGAGAGTTGGTTGGATTGTATGACTTAAGCCCATTGGGCAAAGCTTTTTGAGATGCACTATCACTTGCCACTGTCCATCGCGCAAACTTGCGGTTATCCCGTTGCAAGAACCTGGATGCGTTCAACAAGAAAATATATCTTGTGCGGTGTTATCTTGTGGCTGAGTTGCTGCCTCCACAACAAGCGCTAACTCATCCCCCTTTAGCCCTGATGGGAGCAATTGGGCTTCATAAAGCGAGGTTCAAGTGTTGCATCAAAATTCACTCGTGAGAAGTTCCGCAAACTGTATGTATACGCTCAACAAAGATGCTGGGAGTCCGGACTGCTGCGAGCACATCGTCAATCCGGATGTCGAGGCTCCCACCGGTACCAAAGCAGAAATCTCGGATCAACACCCGGCCACGCGGCCTAAAGACGCATCGGATCTTCGATTGCATGGCATCCTGGTTGGGATTGACATTGCGCCATGCTCAAATTACTCGGCGATGCTCATCGGTATACCGATACTAGGAAGCGATGTATGAGTTGGCTCATTGGATATCTGTCAAACTGAATCTAAAGCTGAAAACTGAAGGTCCGACTTGAAAATTGGGATAAACGTCTATATTACAATGTTATCTGATGAAGAAGGTGGTCTGAAAGATTGTACAGGAGTGCTGATGAAAAGGAAACCGCGCAGAGCTTAAATACACATCAAAGTCATAGCTCAAATTTTGGACAAAGGATTTCGTGAGGCATATTGTTTGTATTTGACAAGTTCTCAGCCACATACATGAATACTATAGCCTGATGGACGTGATAAGCATATCTTGATGTTATCTTCATGGGGTTTTTTGAACCTTGCACCAGGAAATGAACCTTTCAAAAAGCAGCGCTATGTAGCAGTATGCGTTTCCATGTGCCAGCAGACAGAAGGCAGAAAGTTTACATCACCACATGCAAAGATCAAGGTATCTGTTAAATTATTGCTTCCGGAGAAGTGTTAGCCGAACGAAAAACTGGGCTTAATTGTTCATCGGCGGATATACTCGGTGTGTAGCCCTCGGCATCAAGAACACTACCATCATCATCTGAAATTGTCTGATAATAGTCACATAGCTCAGCATGACTAGCGAGGGTTGCCCATAGTCTGATGCCAGGACCACGATTGAGGGGGAGATGTCTTCCTGTTGATATGCATGATATTGGAGTATTGTCACTGTAGGCATGAAAGGTGCAAGCTTCCGTATCCGATGTCGTGACTTCGGAGTAGATATCAGATTCTTTGGCGTCAAGACCTACGCCCGAATTAGCGGAAAATTCCAAGGCCTTTGTTGACGTGGTGCTCCAAGGGTTTGTCTCTCTCTGAGAGGAGTCTGAAATCAGGTCTTGCGCATAAAACAGACTTTCTTCATCGCTGAGAAGTTGTCGAATATGATCAAATCGCTCTGCGTGACTTGGAAAGGGAAAGACTTTCGATTCGAGTCCACGGCCTAATGCAGGAGATTGCATGCCTTGACCGCCCGTGCGAGAAACTTTTGTGGTATACTTGGGGAATGAAACACTGCCATGGTTATCTATGGTTGGGGATGATTTCGTGGATGAGAGCGTTCTATGATCACAAGACCCGCTCGAAAGAGACGATGCTTGCGCTGCTCTTGTCTTGGGAAGCATCATCTTGGGTAGTCGTAGAGCGGCACTCATTGCTCTTCTTCGTCCCTCCGAATGCGGCGAAGCCTCGGGCATTATTTGTGGTGTATCGTTCGTCGGTGAAACGCCGTTTCCATACATCATCGGGAAATCCTGATAGATCCATCAGAAAGCTTGGATAAGTCAAAAATACAAGTATGAGACATACACATGAGTGACTCACGAGGTGGGGTCCGGCAAGAAAGGGGTTAATGAAATTCATTTGGGGACCTTGGTCATCCTCGATGTGATGAGCTCTTCGAACGTAATGCTGATGGGTGTGCGTATCAGATCGCAACCGAGCAGGTCTTTTGATCCTGGATAAAGATACCTTGATGAAGACATTGCGGGATAAGTCACTTGGCCGTGCTAATAGATAAAACTTCTTTGCTTACTGATCGTGGATGAGCCCGTCTTTGCGTAGTAGAAATTTGTTGAAGTATCGTGGGCTCCGAGAAAAAGTTTTTTTCCTGGAACAGGAATGTATAAACACCTACACCAATGAGAGGAGTTGATATACAGACGGTCTGTCAAGGAGAATCGTGATACTCACGCGGATATTGAGAGATGAACTCTGAGAGCTAGAGCTCTGAGTTTCATTAATTGACGTGGTGGGTGAGCTATGATTATAAGGCGGCTGGCTTTTGACTATCGGTGCGACAAATACCGGGCTCTGGATAGTTGAAAAATCTCAGTAACTTTTGGGAAGAGAAAACACATAAGACACTAACGTCATCCGCACTACCTTCTTCTCCCGTGAGCGATTTCGACCTCGTCGAGAGTCGACCAAGAGCAGCCAAAAAGCGAGTGCGAGTACGTGAATATTCAGGAGATTGCATTTTACGGGAGATAAACAATAGCAATGAGAGGAAGGTATCATGAAACGCCTTTCTAAGATCTAGGAGAGCGGCGGCTTTCTTGGAATTGTTCGAAGATTTCGTTGAGTAAGCTAGCTGCTAAATACTTTGCAATGAGAAGAACACAGATGCAAGTCGAGAGCGCCCTCTCATGAGAATAAAAGCGATGCAGCTGTGAGAGTCAAGATCCACAAGGGCGACCAAAACCAGGGAGAATGTGAATCTGATTGTATACGCCCATTGTATACTCGGTTTTGATATTTTGCGTGATCGATTGATGATCATTCCAGTATGATCACTGCGTCACTGAAAGCGTACGTTTTGTGACAGAAACGTAACAGAAAATTTACGTTTTCCGCAAGTTTCCGAAAGTCACCCTGCGGCGCGCGAGCGAATCACACAGTTGACCTGACTTTCCACCGGTGTGACTTTCTGTGAACAAAGCTTGTCGCCAGTCGTGACTCATCAAAGCTCATCAAGCCAGACTCCAGTTTATCGCACACAGAGGACAACAGCGGAAGAGTTCATACTCTAAGAGACAAGGAACCACGCGCTGGGCGCTGAGCTGCGAGCATTCCCTTGTTCAGCCCGTTTGAGCCACAACTTCACGAGAGGCCACGAGCTGCATCTTGATGTATACATTTTGCATTCAACTTCAAAATTCACATCCGGTCATTTCCCACATTTATGTAATGACGAGCACGGCACCGCATCAGGATGGCGTGCTCACATCAAGCTTCAGTTGCCACTTTGTCTACACTTTTGTACTCACCGAACGAATAATATTTTTCACGCTGGCTTAATATCAAGGGTACTCAAAGCAAAGTATGTAGCGCTACATACTTTTCGCTACATACTTTTTTTGGCGGGGACAAAGAAAAAAAATATACTTTTGGCCTCGCCTTCCCCGCCAAAAAAAGTATATAGCAAAAAGTATGTACACGTACATACTTACTTTGAGTACCCTTATCCTTTTATACACCAAGAGTCAAAATTAAAGCCGATAAAGGCCGATATCGTGTTTATGAAACCTACTTTTTTGAATTCCGGTGTTTGAAAAAAATGCTTCTCTGATTACAAAGTTTTTAATTTGTCTCTTCGACCCAAGGGAATTTTAAAGGGTCAGAAATTCACACGTTCATCAACAGCCACCATACCTCAAAATTGTTTAAAACAACCCCGACTCAAGCTGACAGAGAACACAACTTGCCTATGAGGCTGGGAAGTTGCCTGGTTGACTAGCTGCAATACAGTCAAACCGGAAAAGCTTGTCACAAATTCCCCGCCAAATTGCTCGAGTTTTGCGGGCAAAATCGGTCAAGCTTTTCCGATTTGACTGTACATATTTACGGGATACAAAGTTAAAACTGGGTTTTTTTCCCAGTTTCCCAGTTTTTGTTTTTGGCTGTGTTTGGAACTTTCCCACGTTCTCCCAGTTTCCCAGTTTGCGCAAACACAGCCAAAAAGTCCGAATTGGGAAACCCGGAACAAATCCGGGTTTCTAGTTTGTATCCCGTAATTCTATTCCATTTCCCTCTTTCTGTAACAACTTGAATGTGTAATGATCTTTTTGAGCCTTCACTCTCAAAAATTGGCAAAAAAGATGTAAGGCAGAACAATGTTTTTAATTAGTTGTGCAGCACATTAAGTCTGAGTTGAAGCAGTCATGGCACTATCCTTAGGGTATTTGCCTCACCTGGCTACTCATGGGGGAGTGATGATTCTATAAGGGCTTTCCTGGAAGACTTGTGATGGATCCATGCAAACTTGATCAAGTCCCATCCTGGGATTTAGTTGAATCCTTGTGCCAGTGGCATTCAAGTTTGACCTTACACACAGAAGAGGCCATTTGCATACTATTATGATGGAAGGTATCTTGATCAATTGACCATATTGTGCATGGTGCTTGCAGGGAACATTTGAGATATAGTACTTGTCATATCAATTGTCTGATATATATACTGACTGATTTATCTATTGCTTTTGTTATTCCACTTCTTTTACCTACTTATACTTCTAATGTTTTTTCTTGGAACCATGATAAGAGGTTTCAAGTTGACTAGAAATGTTGTCAAATTTTATCAACCTTGACCTTGCAGTGCTTTGAATCCCGAGAATTTCAAAAAGAAATCTCATGCATGTCCTTGTCACACATATAAGGTAGGGATTTCTCAAACTTTTGCACCATTTTTCTTGAGGCACAGTTATATTTTACATGTTTTTCATTCAACTTGAACTCCCTTCATCATAACAGCTCATGTCTTATAGTGTTGCATGCTCTCTTGATGTCTAATTGCCTACATTCTGAAAATTGATTCACCAACCAATCACTTGAGATCACTAGAAGCTCTTTAAGTTGACCTTTCATCTCACTTTCTTTTGTCTTGATTTTTGTTTGTTTATTCCCCATTTAATTTGTACTCTACAGACTATATGCACTTTGTGATCCATCTATAGAAAACCAAAGCTGCAAATCTCCAGATTCCAGAGTAGATCTGAGTGGTTTTGGTGTACATAATTTCCTATCTCCCTACCCCGCTCCCCCATAGTGATCTTAGAACCATCCCACCATATATTTTGCCTGGAGCCTCACAATTTGAGATAGACTTACAGTTAATTTTTGGTGCTCCAACTCTACTTCTAAGAGCTTTCAGCATCCATTGAGGTCTTTACTGAAAACCCTTGTTGACTAAAACATCATAGCAGATTGGGGCCACTGTGAATGCTTATATTGGTTGCATAAATTGAGTGGTGTTAAACCCGCTGCAAAGCTGAGCCAAACAGAGACAACTTCCCATTGGCCACAATATCACATCTCACTCAAATCTTTCTACAGCCAACGTTGCTACAGCTAGACACATTGTCCATCTCCACCTACCTACTTTGAATGTTGAGATCAATCAATATTTGGGCTCCTGGTAAAATGCTCTGTTGTGTTTACTAACACATATTTTGATATGCAAATATTCTTAAACATGTATTTCACGAAGAATCATCTCCAGAGAAAGATCTGAAACAATAATACAACAAAACACATTCATCATAAAAAAAGTGGATGATATGACACTGGTAATACAAATAAATCAACTTGAGTAGTCTTGCAAAACAAAAAGCTTTATTCACTGTCCCCAATGACTTGTATCAACTTCCTCTTCAATCACTTCCTCATCCTCATCATCCTCATCCCCATCATCACCCTTCTTACTTCCAACCTCATTAGCTTTTCTCATCTCAAGATCTTCTAATCTTTCTTTTTCTCTCCATTTATCCATTGGATCTTCAGGAATCGGTCCAGTACAATCAATCCCAACCCATTTAGCATATTCTTCAAATGTATTTAAAGATTCAAGTCTAATGATTTCAGTATCTTCTTCAATTTCTTCTTCAGGTACACTAGGTGTGACACTCGCTCTAGAAGGTGGCTGTCTTCCCATCATCATATCGGTCATAATCTGGGGTGCTTTCTTTTCTTCTTTTATCCATTTCAATCTGATTTGTTTACGATTTCGACCAGGAAATAGTTGAGTGATCATTTCAAAATCCGATCCGAACATTCTGACAGCCTATAAAAACAAATAACATTCTCAATACACCTAAACTACACGGAAACATAGATGCCGAGAGAAAAACTTACGTCGAAGAATAATGCAGTCTCCTCTGCACTCCACCTTTCTCCGCGAATCTTTTTACTCCAGGTAAGGGAATTGACAAGTCGAGTCGAGTCATGTTCTTCGACAATCTCCATTTCATCCAATCGATCATTCTAAACTCAAGGAAACGGTCATCAGTCAATCAATCTTCTTCTGTTCCAAAACCAGTAGGTCTCGACTTACCTGATCTTGTCTCTCAACCTGTAACGAATCTTGATCGAGCACAATCTGTCCATCAACAACTCTCAATTGAGGTGCGTATTGGGTTGGCTCGGGTACATAATCTTCCTCTACCACCTCTTCTTCCTCTTCTTCGATATCAGGTAGTACTTGAGGCACAGCTGCTTTCGGAGTTGATTTCGTTTTCTTGCTCGTAGTTTGGAATTCATCAAACGTGACTTCTTCAAAGTTATCCATATCGTCATCTGAATCGAGGTCTTCGAGTCCATAAGTCTCTGCCAGTGATTTCTTCGCCTGAGCAGCTGCATTTGCTGCTTCTGTTTCCGCGTCCTCCTCTTGCACGACGTCCTCTTCTTCTTCTTCTTCCTCATCCTCTTCAGCAGGTCTAGTCTCCCTCCTAGGAGCAGGCGTACGCCTTTTCCTTTTCTCTTCTTCTCTTTTCGCCATCCTCTCCATCTTCTCACGATCCCTACGTTCGATAACCAATTTCATACGGTTCTGTAAAGTCTCACATCCTCTGCCTTTGCTCAATTGAGGTGCACAAAGGAAATCCATCTTCACCTTACTAGGATCGATAGGTGTATCAAATGCTTCGTCTTCATCTTCGTCAACATCAACTTTCTTTGCTTTCTTCCTTGGTTTTGGTTTTGGTTTTGATTTTGAAGCTGACCGTTTTTTCGGTTTCGGTTTGACTTTCTCGGTTTCTGACTCACTTTCATCATCATCACTTTGTTCGTAATTATCACCATCGTCTTCACTTCCAGAGCTATCATTGAAAAGCTTCTTGGTGCCAGGCGCGTTTTCCTCATGATTAGTATCATTGACTGGGGTCACCATTAAATCAGGCGTAGCCGACGTCCTGCCCTTGCCCTTTGCCGCTCTTAGTGCGGATAGATGGCGTTTACGTTTGAGTCTCGGTGAAATGTCTTCTTCTTCATCAGCATCGGCATTTTCGATTGGAGTAGGATTTGGTGCAGCTTTTCTTCTGGGTTTTTTAACAGTGGGCACTTTTTTAGTCGATTTGGTGGTGGAAGTTTGTCGTTTCGAATCTTTCTTCGCTGTTTCGGCTGTTGATGCGTCTAGAGCGCCAGTGAGTGGTTGAGAAGGGACCGGAATATCATCTAGTCGCGAGGCATCCTCAACAGACTGGGAAATCGCCTCCACTACTCGAGATGATCCATCAGTCCCAGTCATGAGACTGGGACCGGAAGCCATCGTCGGTCCCGCTGAGGAAGAAAGGCTAGAATTTGGTGTGGCTGTTGCAGAAACTGATGCAGCATTTGCGGCTGTAAGAACCGGGATGGACGGTTCTGGAGGGACTGAAGATCGTGGGGCAACAGAAGATCGACGAGAAGGTGGTGGAGTGGGATTTCGAAGCTTATGTTCTGCTCGAGCTGCTTTGGCAGCTTGAGCTTTGAGTTTCATTTTTTCGGCGGCAGTGAGACCTGATTGCGTAGAAGTAGTACTGATGTTACTCATCACTGAGCTGGCCCTGATCGTTCGATTCGTAGGTGGGCTTCCGTGTGAGTTTGGGATATTTTCAATTGATCGAAGGGTATTTTGAGATGGAATCGTCCGAGAGCTCGACGTATTGGAGCTTGATGGGGCATGAATGGGAGATGCCACCTCTGGCGGTCTTGAGGGGGTCTTGTTTGATGGAGGGTCGTTTTGAGATGTAATGCGAGATGTGGAGGATGACGGAGCGGAACCGAGGGGAGTAGAGTTAGGGCCAGCGGTTTGACTGGGAGGACATGATGAATCTGGCGCCGATTTATTTGGTGCAGAGAGAGTAGATGTAACGTGAGTTGTGGGTGTTGAAATCGGATGTGAAGAGACGGGTTGAGAAACATTTGGAGTTGTATTTGCTTGAGTGGGAGGTTTCCTGACTCCTTTTAATACCGGTCGAAAGGAACGACCACCTTTCTCTAAAACGACGGTATTGGTTCAGCTATTTGGGTGAAGATGAAGTAGTTGAGTGATAGATGACTTACCAACTCTTGACATATTTTGAGTTCTGGATGAATCGATCGTTCGTCAAAGTTGCAAAATTGAAATTGGTCAAATGGTCAAATGGTCAACCTCAATCTGAAATCCTAAAAATTAAAACTTTTGTCAGATGCTTAAGTGCTTAGCTTAATTATCCTGCGTAGCCGCAGGGCGTGTCGCTAGCAACGTCACACGCAGCATGGGCCGCACACGACCTTCGCCCGCGCACAATATAGGGGGCCGACCCATGAGGAAACCAATAAAGGGCCTTTGTCTGGTCACTTTCACCAAACTCACCCCCAATCACCACTATCATCAACATCAAACTCAGATTATTGGGCTCTCTCACTGACTCACTTACACTAAGCTTCTCAAATATGACTCATCTCGATTTTTTCTCCCCATCAGATCCACCTCAAGCCCCAGGGCAGTGAAATCCTGCAAATGCACCCTGGACAGTATGAAGTATAATAATGATTATTATATTTCAATTGTTAAACTAGGTACAAGGGAGAAGAGGATAATGAGAAAGGGGAAGATAGGGTGGAAGGTTAACAACTAAGAGTCTGCTGGGACAAATCCTGGCAGACTACAGTCAGTTGACTCTTAAAGAAGAGGTTTCAATTTATAATTTAATATAACAATGAGAACTGGATCCCAAGGTTCTCCAGTATCCTTTCAGTAACAGGATAAAGAGTGACTAGATCAAGTTGAAGGTCCTGGTTGTGCCATACCATCTGCCAAGTCGAATCAGTGCCAGAAGGGTCTGTCAAAATCAAAAAGTGGTCAAGTTGAGGTCACAATCAAAGGTCAGTCACCTAATTACATAGGGTTAAGGTGTGACTTGGTACTTTCGCTTTGGGGGTGTAGTTGTGATTGTTGGGTGTAGGTATGTATCATGTGTGACACATGTATGGTGATTGGTAAAGGTTGGTGGGTATAGGATCAAGGGGTGTTGTGGATGAGGAAAGGAAAGCAAAGCATGGTGGATTTTTGACTGACAGAGTGGAATTTTGTGCGGAGGTGTGGATTTGTCCTCAGTAGGTGTGTTCAGATATGTGGGGTGGTGGACCTGTGAGAAGTAGGGAGTGTGACCGTATTGGTCTTCCTCTGAGACTATCTTGCTCTGAGACTATCCAAAATTTGGAAAAGTGATGTGGCTTGTTGTATACTTACCACACAAGTTGGTGGCGGCTTGTAGCACTGTATAGTTCATACGTACAGTGGATTAGAAATCCATTCCAATGGCTCGCTCTGGAACAGAGGGAATTCCGGACTTAGGAAATTATTGCAAATTGGCAAAGAGATTCCTACTTGGTTTTTATTTCAATCTGTGATGGAGATCTTATAAGAAGGTTATACTCGTAAAAAGAAACATGGATCTGTTGGTAAGCAAAACTTGATTTCAATTTGATTTCAAATATCAATAACTTGCAAAAATGAAATCAAACTTCAATATGAAGATGATTAAAAAAGTCTGTCGTGTTGATCAGCCTTATGTCAGTATTGTAGATTGCTTCAAGCGTACCTACACCAATGAGGGTATTGTAATAGCTATCCAGTGAGCCACGTCGTTCTCTGGATTGTTTCGATCTCTTAGCTGACAATCGATCCTATCAAATACGCAGGTTTGATAACCAACCCAAATCAAAGCTATCACCTTCTATGATGCACACCCAGTTAGATCTGACTTAAGGCTTTACAGAATCAAATCGTATACAGCCAATGTAAGAACGATTGGCAGATTTTTCAGAAAATGTGTCGTCGCCGGATTTAATGAAAAGGGCAAAAACTTGAAAATTGGCTTTCGAGATGTAAAACTATACTGTAGTACCCTTTACCCATCTTACACCTAAGTTTAATTTCCTCTCTCCCTATAATGCCATTACACCCCGCTGTACCATACCGAAAGCCGGTTAATGGTTGTGAACTGATTTCCTTCTTTACCGGTTTTGGTTTCCATCCACTTCAATTCCTTGTTGACCTTCTGTCCACTTCTTTCCGTCTCATCCGGAGTCTACAACCTCATCCAAGCAGTCTATCGATCCAAGACTCCTTTCACTCGGATCAAACAAACTGTCACATCATTCGCACTCACTGGCTCACTTCATTGTGATTCCTTTTCGTTTTTTCTTTTTTTTTCTGTTTCCTCACTACTGTACTGACATCGTTCTTTCTACAGATGCCCATCAACACCTATCCGACCAAGATCAAGTTGGTCGTGGTTTGGATGGTCATGCATGGCATGAGGTTCCACGATATTGTATTGACCCTTGGCGTGGATGTTTCCCTCACCTCCATTTGCCGATGGTTCGACTTGTACCAAACTACCCGCACGGTGATCACAAATCCCGATGACCACATGATTCCAGACACTCGCCCCATTTTAGGCCAAGCTCAACACAACTTCATCATTGACTTGCTTCAACATGATCCTACCTTATTTCTAGACAAGCTTCAGGAGAGGATCTCCAACCGGTTTGGATTTATTGTTTCTCTCAAGACTCTTTCAAATGAAGTACACTTGAAACTTGGATGGACAAGAAAGAAATCTTGCACTGTCCATCCTAATCAATCGGAGGAGGCGCGAGGTGCTTATATTGGCAATATATTTGGAATTGATCCTTTTTGTCTGGTATTCACCGGTGAGATACAAGATTCTTTTCTTCCTTTGACCGAAATCAGCTGATTTATTGTTGTTCTTATTGTTATTCATACAGACAAAACTGCTGTCAATAAACGTCATCTTTATCATGATTACGCACGTGCGCCTCGTGGCGAAAGAACTGTGTGACTAGAGAGGGCAACTCGATCCCAGAGATGGTCTGTTTTACCAGCCATCTCTTTAGGAGGACTTGTAGCCTTGGCTATCCAGCCTGGTGGATACTCAAGAATCGACTTTGAGGCTTACTTAGAAGACCAATTAGTAAGTCATCTTCTTTCTTATTGTTTGGTATTCACAACTGACATATGGATTGATACATTACATAGTTGCCAGCTATGAATCCTTGGGCAGCTAGGAATTTGGTCCTCGTGATGGATAATGCGCCTATCCATCACGGAGGAAATATTGAGGCACTTTGTGAAGCACGTGGAATCCGGGTACTCTATCTTCCAGCATATTCACCTGATTACAACCCTATTGAGTTAGGCTTTTCACCCCTGAAGTCACGTTTGAAAAGAAGCTGAGCCCTTCACCGGGCAGTCAATGTGGCGGGAGAGGAAGTATCAATTTATTTGATGTGTTTGACTTTGTTCACTGAATCACTTTGCACCAAGCTATTCAAAAGTTGTCGATATATTTGAAATTGTTATTTTTCATGGTATCTCCATTTATTCTTGGTATCAATCACAATTTATCAGTGGTATTCACTAGTTCATAGTATTGAAAATATATTTCTATGATCAGATATTATTCCTGTTTGTACACAGATATTGACTGCTATAGCTAACTATTGAGAGTCTAGAAATCAAAATCATTTTTTCAAGTCATGACTTGCTCTTTGCTTAGACTTCCAAATTCTCGTGCTTCTGTGAATAATAATGACGGCTTAAAACTGGCATGAGTTATTTCGCACTAAAGGGCCAAAAAACCAATGAAGGCACAATCTTCAAACCTATATAGAGTCATTCAAAAAAATTTAAAGTCATTGAATGACTTTACATCTGCTTTAGGTATTACGACTCTTTGGGTATTCTTTTGATTTGGTCAAGTAGACAGTCTCTCAAATTTCTTTTTGTTTTTCACAATCCATAACATCAGTTGAGGATTACAGTTCAATCAAATTTTTTACACGCTGAACCAAGGATAATAATATATTTCATGGGTTATCAAACACACAAGAGGAACTAGATTTTCAAACACTACAAGGAAGTATACTCAAGCGACTGACTGAGAAAGGATATCTCTGTTCAAGAACTAACTTTGATAAGAATGTATAGAATGATTCAACCAGGACAATAACACCATCAAATTGGTTGGAAAAACACACCAAGTGACCATTTTGAAATAACTATACAACAAGATATAATAATAATCAAACACAACACCAAATAAATTCAGGTTGAGATAAATAAATTCTGAATAAGATAAAAAATATCTGATGATAATTTGCAATTCTGTTTGTAATAAGCTGGAAAACTAATTTGATTTATAGCCACTGACCAGATTGTGAGCAGGGTTCATTATAATAATGAGCTGATGTATCATTTGCTAATAGGATAAACAATACATATATATTTAATCATACGTCAATAATATTGAGATATGTGAAGATAATAAAACTAATATACTAAATTAATGATAAGATATTGCCCAAATAATGAACTTGAGGCCAAAGATGTGGGCACGGTGGGTTAATAAGTAAATTCTAAGATACAAATTAACCAAAAAGAGATAAGTGATCAGTTCCAAGCGTTGTTTTTGGGAAGTGGTCAAAGTTTCTTACATTTGTAACGAGCTTGCGCTTTGGTCAAAATGCGGTGGGCAATTTGACGGTCAATCCCTTTGGAGGTTAGACTTGCCTCAGTGAGTTGAACACTGGGAATCAGGTCAGTCCAGGAAAGGATGCCGGCCTCTCTAAGAAGAGTTCGAGTTTGTTCATTGTCAAATGCAATGTTGCAGTCGGCCAGAAACAGTTTGAATTCGACCGAATGAGATGTGGACGGGCGTTCAAACTTGATACTACTACTGACACTATTGCTTACCCAGTCGCTTTTATGATCGCTTGAAACATAAATTGGTTCATTGATAGAAGTTTTGGGTTCTGGAGCAGGAGCAATTGAAAAAATCATGTCAGTAACTGATTATATCCAAGCAAACGTACCATGACACCTCGCTTACGTTGTTCTACCTTCAACTTCTTCAAGTCCGGCTTGATGTCAATCATCTCGCTTGGCCCGGAGAGGTCACGTTTGCCACCTATCTTCACCAAGTCAGGCTTGATATTGGGCTGGGAGCTGGCATGGGAAAAAGGGTCGTTTTGGTGGTTCGGAGGATTGTTCTTCAATCCAGACCCACCAGCCTGAATATTGAGGTTTGAGTGGGTCTTTTGAGACAATCCATGTGATTTTCAAGGCTTCCCTTGCAAACAAAGTTCAACCCGGTGATCCACACCCATGTCAGGGTGGAACCACCGGCTCTTATTGATCTCATACCGGAATTCCAAAGTATTCGGAGGGATTTCCGTGGTTGCAATGTTGGCCGCCTATAAGAAGGTGAAGTGGTCAGTTGTTTCCATAAAACCTACATAGTGAAGATGGTTAAATGTTCACTTACAACCCCGTTTGCCCAAATCCAGGCCGCCGGGTAAGTCAATCAATATTGGAAGGTCGGATCCCAAGGCGTAGTCAATATCTTACCAGGTCCACCGTTGGACTTTTCAAGTGTGTGTTTGCTAAAAATTGAGTTAGCAAAAGTAGCTAACTCTCTTTCTTTCTTCGATTCCTGTGTAGGATCATAGAAAATAGAAAAATTGATAAATAATATATGAAGTTAGGGGATATGCTCACCTCGGTTTCTTGAACTTAGGTTCCGCCTCCGTTAGTTGTCGCAATCAGCTTCTTAGTCGCGGATGCCTGTTCAATGCAATCATGTTAGAAAGAATTGAAGAAAGATGAAAAATATAAAAACAAAATTGAACAGAACAAACTTGCCTTATCTTTTGCTTTAACTTGCACATTCTCATTTTCAATCAAAATAGTACACATTTTCTTGGTAGACTTCTCAAGAGCGTCGACCAAATTTTGCCATTGATCAAAATTGGTGAGAACTGACTTGATCCGCCCAATGGTGGCTTTCCACTTTAGGTCAGGCAAGAAATGACTATTGAGAATTACATTTTTCATACCAGCCTCGTACTTTTCACAAGCTCCAGCCACAAGTTCCTTGAACTCATTCAAACTTTTTCCAAACACGCAAATTTTTGTTTTGAGGTAGCCAGCGTTGATTGCTTTAGAATCAATCAGATTAAGTTTAGAAGACTCCGGTACCTTCTTACTAGCCCCAACTTTGGGGGTGCTCTGATTCGGAGCATTGATGTTGACCTCCGTATCGGTATAAATTTTGAATCGGACCTTGAATGTCATCAGGTTATTCTGATCAAAAGCATCACGAGCCGCAGTGCCCACACGCAATAAGGGGGCTTGCTTGAGGCAGGTTGATCGTTGCTTGTCTCCGACCCGGTCCTCTGATTCTTCAAACACTGAAAGTGATCAAGCATTAGTTGAAGAATGCAAAAAATGCACAGATGAAAAGTAGCTCACAACTGTTCATGTAGCCAGTCACGGGAGTCGCAGCCGGAGTGATTGCGGAAGGATTAGACATTTGTGAAACTGTCAAAGAGAAGCATTAATAAGATAAGTGCTGAATCCATTGAGAGACGATGAATTCAACCAACATGGAAGAGAAGACGTACGACAGATCTGTATTGGGTAGAACTGAGGAGAAAAGTAGATTGGAACAGAAGGCGTATAATAGATTTGCGACAGGTAAAACAGAGGAGAAAATGAAATTATTGATACAGTAGATAATGTATGGATTGTGAAAATTGATTTGTTGAATAAGATGTGAATGGTGAATAAGGATTCGATGGGAATAAGTACAAAAGAAGGGGACAAGTTGATAAAGGAGGTAGGTGAAGGATATAACAATTGAAAGTAGGGGAAATACAACACATTATCAGTGAATGATGTCATTGAGAGAACTCGTTGGAGAAGGCTCTTTCCGGCCATTAGAAATTGGAATGGAAGAGGAAGACAAATAGCCGGAAGACAGAGAGAAGGGAGAGAGAAGGGAGAGGTATGTATGAGGATCAGAGGAGGAAGGGCCAAACTTTTTGTTGAATCCAAGAGATGGACAATACAGTTAACTCTGAAAGTCGAAAACAATCAAGTTTTTGACTTCCAGAGTTAAATCCGCTGACGACACATTTTCTGAAAAATCTGCCGATAGTTTTTACAATGGCTGTAGGTGTTTTGCAACATTCACTTCAAATTCTGTTCCAATCAAAACTGATGAATTTAACTGATTCATCTTCTAGTATTAGTATTGTTGAAAACCAGGATAATCGTGTTATGATTTCTGAACGGCCGACTAGGCATCCAATCATTGGACCGTAGTAGATCTAACAAGTGGCCCTCATCAATCAAGGTTATCTATACATGTACCTACATAGACATGGATAGACATGGATCCATTGCTCATTTGGAGCAATCCAGAGCAGATTTCTTGGATGCATCGATTGCACAAAAGATGTTTGTACAGACTTGTGTGGGTCCGAGAAGGTCAGAGAATAACAAGAAACGCCCCTCTTGGAAAGCAAGTGCCACCTGAGAAAAATTATACTATCCCTGTATGTCTCAGGGATCCTCTCAGGTAGTCTCAGAGGAAGACTGATACGGCAACTCTCCCAAGAAGTAGGTGGAGCGTGGCAACAGGGTGGTGGAGGTGTGATATGTAGGTGAAGTATATGGGAAGGGTGGTGAGGTGCGTGTATGATAGATGAGTGTGGCTGGAAGAGCTCCCTTATAAAAAAAGGGACTTAGAGAAAATTTGAGATCTCAAAGATGCTTCTCAAGATTCAACTTCATCTCACAGTATTCCTAGGAACCCCATTGGGTCACAGGGTACTCTGTATGACCCTATGGTATAGGGTAAAGACTTAAGTGTTCAGGTGCTGAATTTTATTTTCTAACAATCATTTTACATGATTAATTCAAATTGGTCTCAGTTTCTTTGTTATAAAACATCTCAATTTAATAATCTATATACTTAAAACAATTAAATAGATCTCCACGACACAAGTATTGTTGATAGTGATTGATTCCAGGAGGAGTCGGTGACCTAACTATTGTATAAGGCATAGTAGGAATCTCCTTACTCCTGATTGAATTCTTTCATCAAGTATCTATTAGTGTTGATCTTGTTTTAGTTGTTGATTTCTATTTTTGTGTTTTGTTGCGGCAATAAAGACATAAAGATCTCTATTTGTCTCAGGGACTACACTAAGGGATGCTGAGGTGGAACAGTATTCAAACCACTTCTGAGTACTGATCTGTATAAGCACTGGCACAGTCCTAGCAAGGGTCAAGTTGCTGTGGTTAAGTTGGGTAGGCATCCAAGCCTTTTTGATCAGTTGGAAACATACCAGAAAAAAACTCAAACAAAAAAAAACTTGCAAATCATTGGGCCCCTGGTTTTGGGGGCTCTCTCAATAGGCACAGTGTAGGAGCCTTTGGTGCCCTAGTCGTTGAATGACTTCTTGTATTCACATTACTAGTACCTGTCTCTTGTACCTTCATGTTGATTTTTACTGCGGCCACTTTTACTTTGTCTTGTACAGTCTTCCTGTCATTGTTGAAAGAAGTCATTGTCTTTGGAAAAATTCTTTCTAACTTTGAACCTTCCCTAAAACTTTGAAAATTGGTTAGTTGGATATTTTTTGTTTTGGTTGTCGGTGGAGAGGTTTAGGAATTCTTCCAATACTTGAATCTCAAACTATCATGGTGAACAACCCAGACTCTTGAGTTATGGATTCATGCCGGTCCGTAAATGTCAAAATCAGTTCATAGAACTATGCCTCAGGTTATACCTTTGCTAGGACTTGCAAACAAAGTTCTACACCTGTCTGTCAGAGTAGGGATGGATTAAATTCCGAACGTGAACCTAAAATCTACAAATGCACAATTCCATGATAGCCAATTACATTCATCCAAGGAGAGAAGTGAATGACTTGGATGAAGAAAGAAGATTATCAAATTTGCTGCTCTTCCAGGTATATAACTGATACATTGTAAAAATACCTAGGTTTGGAATGGTTTCAAACAGTTTTACTAAAATCATACACATAGCGATAACATAATAATTGAAATGTAAGTTGAATTAAAATATTAGCGAAGTGTCGTGGTTTTGAAATGTAATCTGCGTAAATAAAATGAACGAAAAACACGCTTTACTTCAACATTGGCATGCAGGAGAAAAAGAGACAGACAAAGTAGAATCAAGCTAGCTTAAATATATATTGCATGGAAGAGATAATGTCAATTCAAGTGTCAGAAGAGCTGAGAAGCCAAAGCAATACAACAATTTCACAGCTGAGAAAGGGCAAATCCAGATAAGTGCAATAGGACCGATTCACGCTTGTTGGTGGGGTTTATGAACGTGTGTGTTATCCTGTGGTGTTTTTATCAGACTCAGTACTTGCATGTGTGATATAGGAGATACATCCGCCCTCCGGAGACTGTATAAAATCAAGAACAGAGCACTTCCGAAGCTGATCACTTCAATTGTTTGTCTTTTGGAATCAAAAATGTTGATTTACTAACATGTTTCCAAAACTTGAGATGACAGCATTTTTACCCTAATGAATTGCAACGAGGCATTAGAGAATGAAACAAAGGCAGACCTTGGCGAAAAAAAAACTTACGACACGAACGAGAAGCCAAAAGTACGGATCTAGGATAAAGCGACCATTTTGTAGCAAAGTTTTCTTGTGAAAAAAATGTAAAGAAACGTAAGATCAAACACAGAATTCCATATCATCAACTTTCATCAAACACATATAAATTCAAGGTTATTGCTTACTGCATATACGGCTACAAGTATACTTAGGAATGTAATTGCAAGTTCTAAAAAGGTGTTCACAGTCACTGCTTTTTGCGTCTTTATTGTTGAAGACTCCAGTCCTCTTTTATCAGTAAAGCTTTGGAGCAGTACGAAGAGGAATGGAATGTAAATCTGTAATAAATTGAAACACATAATTTCAGATTGAGAATTTTCATGTACAATTGAGGAACATACCAAAAAAAGGAATCCATCAATGAATATATAGCAATCCACACCCATTCCAGTGTAATATACCAAGAGATCCTAATCAAGGTAGTAAAGTTTCATTTTCTGACTTTTCTGACTATTTTCAGAAAAAACTGACAATATGAGACCTTTCCCGTATGAGTGGAATCACCTGCGTGACTACCTGGGCTACACCACATTTACCTACCGAGCATTCAGAGGCCGAATTCCGAAGACCTTGGATTAAGGACATCCCGAATTGTCTGATTTGGTTATATTCAATAGTGAGTTTAATGAACGTGAATGAAAGTGCGACTAAGATGTGACAAAAATTTTAGAGTGTATATCTTTGAACTTTTGATTGAAGGCAAAAGCTGACCAAAGGGTGCAACAACTATCGCCACCAAGAATATATTCAGCGCCCATACAACAGCGGTTGGAAGCAATTTTCCCACTGGAGTCATGTGTGACGTAGCAGCTTTCTGTTTGACTAATGCACAATGGCAAATACAGAGCCAGAGTATCACTGAGTGACGTCCGGTTGAAAACTCATGAATAATTCTTCAAAGACTTGGACGAAATTGAATAAACTCACCGCTACAAAACCGATCAAGTCAGCTTTGGGAAAAATGGCTTAGTAGCTCGCAAAGGCTCACCTGTTGCATGCAGCTGTAAACGTAAATTTGATCCCAAGTATAAAATTTGAGTATCCCTGGTCTAGATGGCCAGATTGTGCAAGCTGCTCAAAGATGATTTCGGTCATTGCGACTATATATTTGGTATGGTGGATATGTTAGATCATCCTCTCAAGGTCGAGAACGCAGTAGTAGTCTTACGTATACTATAAAGCAGGTAACACAACCCGCAATGGTTTGCGCGATCAAGTGATATCAAACCCACTCCAGGAGATGATGTGTTATTATTCCCAAGAAATCGAAATAGAAAAAATATCAAGTTGGAAGCCACTTACTTCCATTCAAGCCAATGTGATACGGTTTCTTGGTCTTCGAGCGAATATAGAGAATGTAAGATGATTGCATAAACATTCTTGATGCCATGTTGATTGAATGGTGTAAGTATTGTCAACGATGGTATCGAGAGTCATCTCGGATTAGTCGGTTTTAACAAAAAGATGAAATCCTCACATTATAAGCTGTACCACAATAACAGGTTGAATGTAACGCGACCAAGAGGGCAGAGGACATGGCTATACATGCAGTAAGGAATATTCATATCAAAGAAGATCTGTTGTGTCAAATTTCAGACGTTCAACAAGGAAAATAGGTTCACGGTATCAAGACGTACCAGAATGAGTGTTTCAAGATAATCAGCTGTTGTCAGATATGGGTTGGTGGCTGGATTTAAGTGGGTAACAAAGTTGATGATCAGACTTTCGATGAATTGAGACATGATAAGGGAAGATATGATGAGGGAAGATACGATGAGGGAAGATACAATTGGAGGATCAAGTCAATTGAGTTTTATAGCAGGTCTTCCAGGCCTTTTGTGTTCAATACACACAGAATAGATAACTTGAGTCGACCAATTGGCTCCATGACATGCACGGGAAAACCGAGATTTTTATCAGATGTGAAAGACAATATGAGACTGCAAATAATGGCACCACGTTTGGACTTCTTCATCAATCCCTGAGGCTGAAAGATCTGCCAAATGAAGTCGTGGAAATACGTGACTTGATTTTCCGGCGATCATGGTGCAAGAGCTTTCCGCCGAGGTTTTCAGTTTCACTAGCATTCTAGCGGCGGGCGCCGCTGTTGTCAAACCAAACTCAACACATTCAGTCAAAAGAAAAGCAAGTATGAGTTGATCACTGGGCAAAATGAGACTTGCTCAAGCATTATGGCATGCATCTTGTGTGGATAAATCAAACTTTGTGTAACACAGGTCACAAGGACTCAGGGACCACTTTGGTGATATGTGATTGCACAACCAGTATTGTGCCATATATTGATCTACCTCCGGAAATTAGTCATTGCAACAAGTGCTTCAAGCAATATAGAAGGTTATTATTGGCTTTGGGAATTGAGTGAGAACCAATCATCTCTAATAGTATCAAGAGATGCCTCCTGGTTCAGTATATTGCTCACAGCACTCACAGTTGAACATCCCAAGGGCTTTTGTAGTTTGCTGAGATTGTTTCCCCTCCACATCCTTCCAATGATAAAGGGATGCCTGAAGAGCCATCATTTTATACCTCCTTTGATGAGGATACATGATGGCTTCTGGTTTTGATTCCAAGAATTGGTCTTTCATCCTTTGTATTTTTGACAAAAAATTAAGATAGATCAATCCGAGTAGGGAATGAAGAGGGTCAGATGATATAATGAATTGAAATACTCAAAGAACCACATTCCAATTCTAATCTGCAGTCAATTTTGGAAAGGTTGGAAACTTTTGCCCACCAAATTTGAGCAAATTTGTGTGAAATTCTTTCCAAGCTTTGTACACATGACTGTACAGCTTCAAACCTGACACTACACCAAAGTACATCTTTTCTGTACGGTTTAGAAAAGTGTACATGTCATAGAAAACTACATTATTTTTATATGCTGCTTTGAAAGTATTGGAAATCAATCATGACCAATCTTTCTCCAGAGTACATGCATCAACAACACTATATGAGCTGTGCAACGTCTGGTGCAACAGTGTGTGTAGTTCAAACTGGGAAAATTAATTGGTGATATATTCATGCCTGCGTGATTCCTTTCACGTGAATACTTGTATATACATGTAGTTATGAAAGACTATTGAATAAGATCAATTTTGAAAACATTTTTGCTCGATCTAGAATGAGACAACTTTGCTGGTAGTGTTACCTGAGGTATAAGAAGCCTAATGGTCAATTTCATAGGCTGTACAACTAATTTTGGAATTCGTTCCATCTACACATCTTCAAGACTAGACTAGTGTAACATGAAAAAGAAACAATTCCATCACTGAAAAGATATCAATCATTGCTATCATTCTTCGAAATTTTTGGAACTGAGAATGATAAGATGAACGTAAAAAACTTGCATAAAAGTCGCGTACAAGCCATTGGACCATAATATGAGTGGGACAAAATGCAATCAGAATACAAACCGTGGTGTTGACAACATAGAGTGTTCAGATAGTCTGGTGGATAAACGTAGAATAAAAGATAACACAATCTATCTTGTGTAGCTAATACAGTAGCACTGAACCAGCTTTTTCTGATGTATG